GATTGTTAGTCCAACTGAATAGTAAAATAACCTTTATTGGTTTGGACAGTTTTGATTTTATTATAATTATTTCTATTGTTGCGTGATAATTTTCTTCACAATGGCATTCTATGGTGTTCATGGTAATAATTATTATTCAATTTATTTAAGTTATTATTTAATATTGCAGTTTATAACTTACTTTATTTTTAGTTTTGTTTGAATAAAAAAATGTAAACAATGGATTTAACCGAAGGTTTAGATAGATGAGTGAGTAGAGTTGAGGGATAGATAAGTTAGGATGATGTTTCATCATTTCGTGATTATTTTAATAATTTATTTATGCCTGCATATATAGTTAATATATTTTAAACCTCGAAGGTTTGATATGTTTTTATTTTCGTAATAACTATTTTCTAAACAAGTTAGTTGGACATTATAAGTTTATAATGTTTCGTTATTCTAATTTAAATTGGTACATATTATTATGGTCCAATCAAATAAATAGGTTTAGAATGTTAGACCAGCATAATTTTAAAATAAAATAAATATTTGTTTATTAAACTTAATTTTAAATTATAAATAAACCTAAATTTATATCATAGGATATATAAATTAGTTAAATATACTAAATAATATTTATGTTTGATGGAAATTTGAGAAGTAACGTATATGTCTTTTGTCTCATATAGGTTTGAAAAACATATATGAAATGAGTGCAAAACTAAAGGTAAACAATTATATCGAGTTTTAAGTATATAATAATAAAACTATAAACTAATTGCTGTCACATGCGAACCACCGGATAAACTATGATCGAGTCAAAATAACAATGAAAATATTCGTAACAATACGAGAAATATTACATAATTAAATTATCAAATAACACATTTGAAAGTTATAAAATTTTTTATATTTTGAATAATGTATGTCAACATCTTAATGAAATATTAGATTATTATACACAGTAAAATGACTAAATAAAAATAATATTAAATATTATATTACCTCATTTATTTATATTATCTTCCGTGCATCATATGGGGATGCATAGTAGTATATTTTTAAACCATAGAACCCGAATTGAACCGAACCGATATTATTGATGCAACATCACATTGATCATGCAGCCGGAACTTATGTTTCTTCCGTACAACAAATTTTGCAGGCTAACGTGCAACATCACATTGATATTAAAACTTGAAAATTTTCTTCCTTCTTTTTCGGTGCATGAATTGAAGTTCAGATAGTGGGATTACTTGTTCATGTGCCTATGTTTTTTAAAAATCTTGGTCGGAAGAAAGTGATGAAAATGATCATAATAAAATAAAGAGAAAGTTAAGAGTTCTTGTAAGAAAAAAGTTTCAAGAAAATAATGATTTGTAATACTAATTTGACTTCTTATACAGATTATTATCTCTAAGATACAATTGTAAAGCATACATTCGTCATATTACAAATTAAGCTCTATAGGGTAGAGACTCGTACTAATAATGTGTTATAAAACATGAAAGAATGAGAGAAAATAGAGAGAATATATTCTCTTTGATATAATTTTCATTATAATTGAAACTCCTATTTCGATATTACAACTCGTAACAATACAATTACAAGAGACACAAAATAGTCATATTCACACTACCGGTTGTGAATATGGTAGGTGGTGGTTGGTTGTTGGTAGTTGGGATATTCATAACAAAAAGCAAATCAATTGTACATGTTGTAATAGTATTTATTTCATTAGCACTAGGTTGTCTTTGTTCTTTATCTTTTCGTTGGAAGCAGGTTTTTCTTGATCTGGATGAAACTCTGGCATGTGCATACGAGACATCAAGCTTGCCAGCTCTCCTACGTAGTCAAGGCACGGAGGCTGGAATAAAATGGTTTGAACTATAATGCATTTCCTCTGACATTCTCTTTTGTCCTTTATATGTTTGGGTGGAACTTGAAGTAAAATCTAAGTCAACTACGTGACAGTGTTTGAACGTCCTGGACTAAAGGAATTTCTAAATCATCTAAAAGTGAATTTGCTTATCATATATTATTTACAGCTGGACCTGAAGGTTTTCTGTTGCTTTATGATGCCCTATCTTCCTTGATGCCTTAGTTCTTGAATAAACAAAAAATGAGTTACTCGATGCCTTATTTCTTGTGGGTAGATGTTTTGTGAGTGTTCAGAGTCTTGAGTTCTCACTGAGGTTGTTTTTTTGTTTTTGTTTCTGGTCCTGTTTGGGGTTTGGGGGTTTTGTTCTACCTTCGGGTTTAGGGATTTTCTGGTTCTTTCTTGCAGGTTTCATTGATGGATTCACCTCCCGTTGGAGCCTTGAGTGTAGCGGGATTCTCAATGCAATCGGAAAATAAAATTATCGAATTAAATGATGAAGATATTCGACTCAGTGCAGAAGAATGTGATAAGAGTGTGTTTGGGAAAGTGATTGGCGGTAGGAAAGCTCATCTCTCAGGGATTAATAGGACGATGAGATTGATTTGGCAGATTCAGAATCCAGTGGATGTACGTGAGTTGAAAACCGACTACTTCCAATTTACTTTTGGAAATGTGGGAGACAAAGGAAAAGTAGTTGCATGGGGTGCACTGGATGTTTGAAAATCAGTACCTTATTATGAGAGAATGGGAGGATGGGCTTACAGATAAACATGTGGGATTCTCTGAACTAACTAAACTGGTTATTTTCGGACGTTGGTGTTAAAATTGGACAACTCTTCAAACATAATCGTTGAATGTGGTGGAGGTAAAAGTAGGAAAACAAACAGCAAGTTGTGGTGGTGTTCCAATATGAAAGACTAGTTAACCTTGGTCATTATTGCGGTTTAATTGGGCATTCGGAAAGATCGTGTGAGAAGAGGATGGAGGACATCTATATCTATATCTATATATATATAAAGAGGGAGTTGATGGAATTTATTGCTAAATAAAAATGATATGCATTGATTATAATTGACAACATTTCTACATTTGGTTGTGTAATTGTAAGTTTAATTATTTTTGTATTTGTCAATAATACTTTAGATCCGTGTTTCCATTTGCACTTTGCATTAACTTAACCAAATTAGTATTCAATTAATAATTCAAATTAATATGGAATCTACATTAATATTTATGCCACTTACTATTCAGCTACCTTTGAAGTTCCTAAAAGTTATTGATTGAGAATTTTAATTAAAAAATCTATATAAAAATAATAATAAATTTCAGTTTCAGTTTTTCTGAAAATAAAAATCAATTTTAAGTATGAGAGATATTTAATAACGCATAAAAATATATATTTAATAAGGCATAAAAATACATATACCACCAATTAAGATAATGACACCCAATGATACCATAAATATACGAACCTATAATTATACCATAAATCTATATCTATATCTATATAATGGATCAATCGTTATTGCCATAATTGACATGATTTTGGGCGGAAAATTTTTTCGTCAATATTTTGCATTTAATTAATATTTATTTATTAGCAAATCATATGTATAAGAAACATAATTAATTTTTATACACTCAATGACTATTACTCATTAACTTCAAATTGGCTTAAATTGAAATTTCGACTGTAACTATTAGATATATTTTCAGTAAGATCTTCTATATATTTAATATTATATTATTGGCAATATTCAAAAAATTATTATGGAAATTAATTTGATTAAATATATTATCATCTATGGCTGTAGGTATTAATTTAATTAATTATATTCACTATTCAAAAGTACTTAAAATATTTAATAAAATAATTAGAATAACTATGTTTAAATCATAATAACTTAATAAATAATTTAAAATATTAATAAAAGTTTCAAATATGTAGTCAATTGAACTATAAAAACATCATCCCCATTGAATATATCATATGCAGTAATAATAGTATTGAAAATTTAAATAATACTAATAAAAATAAAATTTGATGGTCGGATGCAATTCAGAATTATAAATTCCACCTTAGAAGTACCTATGTACATTAAAAACTATCCAATTTGTAAAAAAAAAAAATATTTTTTTCTTATATACTATTTTATAAATGAAAAATAAGTTAATAAAAAAGCAATGTATAATAATTTAGATTATAGCACTAGGTAATTATGAAAATATGTAATATATCAAAATATTCGAATAGATACTATGTAACTCATTATATAGGTTGAAATAATGAATTAAAGAAATAAATATAAATAAAAATAGAAACATAAAAATAAAATATTTAACCATAAAAAATTTGTGTGTTGCATAAGGATTAAAGTGACTAAAAATTAAAGTTTGTTTATCAAAGTTTTTAACATTTAATGCACTTAATAATTCTAGCAGAAGATAAATATTATGGGTTGAGCGTTGATCAATTATCAAACAATGTGCAAATTATGAATTGTTAAAAAAATTATAAGACTATAATAAACGACAATTTTATAAGTACATACAAATAATTTGTATGAAAATATCATATGATCTTATACATTTATAATAATAAACGACAATTTTTTAAGTACATACAAATAATTTATATGCAAATATCATATGATCTTATACATTTATAATATTTTATAAACTCATAAATAATAAAATTTATATATGAAATAGTCAAAAACTACAAAACAAATATACAAAAATAGAAATTTACAATAATAATAAATAAATAAATGCCATATTATTACTGAATAGAATATTGTAGAGAATATAATTTCATATTGTTTTAAATAATTTTATAATATTAAAATAATAAATATTTTTTGTATTGCACCCCGTGCATCGCACGGGTATCAACACTAGTTACTAATAATGCCCTAGTAGAGGGTCAATTTGGTGAGTGAATGAAGGCACATGATGGAAACTTTGGGCCAAAATCACTACTATCGCCAAACAGTCCTGCCAATAATTCAAATAATTCTCCCTCCTTAAACATGGAATTGCAGTAGGATCCTGGAAAAGCACAATCCAATCTGTCCTCATGAAGTAGAAAACAACCAAAAGGGCAAAAGGAGGAAGAAGCAAAAGGTGTTAACCAATGTCGAGAAGAACAAATGGTCTTGATAAAGGACATCAAGAGAACTCACTGGCTCTATCTATCCTACATGAAGCCTCAGCTTCTGGTTGTAATTTTATGCGAGCTTGTAATAGTTCACCTCATAAGACAGAATTAATGCAGATTCCTGAGAAGGATAGTGGCCATCAAAAACGTTTACAATCAGAAGATCTTCAGGAAGGGTTTATAAGATGATTAGGACTTCTGGAAGGTGTGACCAGCCAGGGAAACCAGTTAATGGCTAAAAGAAAGGGGCAGAGAAGGGCTGTTACCCAGGAAGGAAGATTGAAATAGATGCTAAGCAACCCAAAGTTCCATCTCCAGCTTCCTCTGCGAAAAGAAGACTGAGAACATAGGATAGTGTAGAAGGGTAAAACGAGGAACTCAGGGTACCAGATTAAAAA